TGTGACTCACCAGCGTCCACCTCTACGTCCTCCCATGACCTCAGCGTGTCTCTTCAGTCCTCCACCCCAACCGTCAAACGGACCGTTCCAGGACATCTGCTGGTGATGGGACATCTGCATCATGCCACCTGTCACATATCAGACCGCTAAATATTAGATATCATTCTAAAGCATCAGGTGACACTGAAAACTGGAGTAATGAAGCTGAAAATTCAGATTTGATTACAGCAATCAATTACATTTGAACTTATATTCAAACAGAAAACGGTTATTTTAAATTGTAAAAATATTTCACAATTTTAATGTTTTTACTGCTCAAATAAATGCAGCCTTGGTGAGCAGAATAAGAGCCTTTAAAAAATAAATAAATAAATACATTTTGACCAGCACTGTACTTGCCAAATGTTTTTATGTCATTTATTTCTAGCTTTATTTCCATTAACAAAAATGTTTCCTAACAGTTTTAGTTAACGATAACAACACTGCATCATGTACCAGGATTTGGCTGCATGCTGGGAATCAGTGGTGGTATTTTGGGAGATTTCAGCAGAGGTTGCGGTTTGGTCCCTAAAATGCCAGGCTTTGGATTGGATGACATGGAGGGCAGCAGCGGAGGAGGAGATTTGAAGGGCTGACAGAAAGAAACCAGAGAAAGAGACAAACGCTCTGAAGATCAGGTATAAAAAATAACATGGTAATTATACACTCCTTCATTATACTCTCAAGTCATTAAACACTAGGGATGTAACGATTCACTCAACTCACGATTCGATTCACGATTCGATTCGATTTACTTTTTTTTTTTAACAAAATGAGATTTAAGACAAATTATAAATTAAATGTGTCCTTTTATTATTGCTTGGACAAAATGCTCCACGTTTCTTTGTGAAATTTAAATATAACACTATAATAATATACTAATATAGCACTTATAGCATATAATTACTCTTTTGTTGGTTTTGATTGCTTCTATTGTCCTCATTTGTAAGTCGTTTTGGATAAAAGCGTCTGCTAAATAACAAAATTGGTATATAATCTAAATGTAAATAACAAAACTAAATTAAAATTTTAAAACAAACCCCAAATCAAATATATAAGTAACACAAATAAAATAAATCTCTTCATATAAACAAA